TTTTTTTTTCCCCATAGATTAAATCAAAAGTGGATAGTATTACCACAAATGATCGGTAGGCAATCAATAGGCCTAAAAAGAGGGGAGGGGGAGGAAGGGGGGTGGGTTGGGAAAATGGGAGGGAGGGGGGGGGGGAGGGGATGGGAGTTGGGTGGGATGGGAGTTGGGAGGGAGGGAGGGAGGGGAGGAGGTATTGGGTTAATACTCTGCATGACAGAAGGGACAAAGAGGAAGAGGCAATCTGGAAGAAAGATGGAGTTAATTGGGAAAGATGGAAGAAATACAGTTTATAACTTATAATGTGAACGGGCTGAGTTGTCCAGGGAAGAGATTTAGGTTGTTTAATGAGTTACATCATAGGGCGATGTCAGTGGTATTTTTACAGGAGACGCATTTTGAGATAGAGGCAAACGTGAAATTGAAATCCAAACACTACCCAATATGGTACTATGCAGATTCTCCAATTAAAAGAGCAAAAGGGGTTGCAATAGGTTTGGCAAAGAATATGAGATTTGAGCTGGAGGATAGAAGAACCGACCCGGAGGGGAGGTTTTTATTCTTAAAAGGTAGACTTCAAGGGATAGAGTGTACTTTAGCCAACATATACTGCCCTAATAAAAACCCGGAGATGTATATGAAGGGTCTGTTGAAAAAATTAATGGAATTCAAAAAAGGGCGTTTGATAGTAGCTGGAGACCTAAATTTCTGTATGGATCAACAAAGGGATAATACCTCTTCTGTGCAGAGAGAAGGGAGTAGGTCTCTGAGAGCTTTGAAGAAAGTGATGTATGAATGTCAACTAGTGGATACCTGGAGAATAACGCATATGAAAGACAGAGACTATACCTTCTTCTCTAATGCACATGAGATATACTCGAGATTAGATTACATCTTAATAGACCATCAACTTATAGATCATCTGGTTAAAATTGACATAGAGACAAGGACGTTCTCGGATCATGCTCCGGTCGTAATGAAAATGGGATGGGGAAGAAGGTGGACTGGAGGATTAGGGTGGAGGTTAAATGAGGTTCTTCTTCTGGATGAGGAGGTAGTTCAGAAAATCGAGAAAGAGATTAAGGTATACTTTAAGGAGAACGAAACAGAGGAAGTTTCGATAGCTACAGTCTGGGAAAGCCATAAGGTATACATAAGAGGAATCTTGATTGCGGCAGGAGCAAGGAAGAAAAAGGAAAGAAGAGAGAGGGTCAGTGGGCTATTAAAAGAAATATTGGACTTGGAGCAGATACATAAGAAGAAAATAACAAAAGATACGAGACAGAAGTTATTGGATAAAAAAGATGAACTAGAGAGGTTGATGGATGAGGAGAAGAGAAGAGTATACAACAGGGTTTTGAACGAGAGATATAGATGGGGAGACAGACCAGGAAGATATCTAATGAGAGCTTTGAATAAAAAGAAAAATAGGAACTATATAGAAAAGATAAAAAACTCAAAGGGGGAGTTGGTCCACTCAAATAAAGAGATTATTAAAGTGTTTACGGAGTATTACAAAAAGTTATATAATATTAGCCCCCAAGGCCCTCTAAAAGAAACTCAAGAGGGAATTAATAAAAAAAAGATGACATACTTAAAAAATGTAGGATTACCAAAACTAAGTGAAGCACAGTTGAACTCCCTAGACGCAGAAATCTCCCAGGAAGAAATTAAAATAGCATTAAAAAGCACAGGGGGGGGGGGGGGGGGAAGCCCAGGCCCGGATGGTTTATACAGTTAAGTACTATAAAAATTTAGTGAAGTACTGTTACCCAAGATGGAGAAATATATGAATGCTCTGGGAGGTGGGATGGAAGTGAGGAGAGAATCCCTACAGGTACATGTAGTACTTATTCACAAGGAGGGAAAAGACCCATCTCAGTGCTCAAGCTATAGACCTATCTCATTATTGAACACTGACACTAAATTGTATGCAAAGGTGTTAGCAAACAGGTTGAGGATTTGATGCCTGAATGGATCCATGGAGATCAGGTGGGCTTTGTGTCGGGGAGAGAGGGTAGAGAGATAACGGCTTGAGAACCCTGATGCTTATTCAGAAAAGTAGAAAAGGGAAAGCCCCGGTGGTGCTCTTGTCAATTGATGCAGAGAAGGCATTTGATAGAGTGGACTGGGGCTTTATGATGGACAATTTAAAAGTGCTGGGGATAGGTGATAGAATGCGAGAGTGGATAAGTAAATTATATAGAGAGCCTACTGCAATCATCACGGTAAATGGGGAGAGATCAAAACCCATTGGAATGTCTAATGGTACAAGACAAGGTTGCCCACTGTCCCCCCTGCTATATGTATTGTCACTCGAACCTTTGTTGTCAATAATAAGAAATAGTGGATCGGTAAAGGGAATTCAGATAGAATCCATAGAACACAAAGTAGCGGCCTTTGCGGACGACTTATTGTTCTATGTGGGGAATCCCCGAATAACTCTCCCAAATATAATGAAGATTCTGAAGGAGTATGGTGAACTATCAAATTTAAAAATTAATCCAACGAAAACAGAGATCCTGAATATTAATATATCAAAGAACGAAAAAGAAAAACTACAAAAAGAATTCCCCTTTATATGGAGAGAAAAAGAGATAAAATACCTAGGAATAAAACTCACTACCTCATCTAAGCATCTGTATAGATTAAACTATATCTCTTTGATAAATGAGATCAGGGAAGATTTAAAAAGACTAGAAGGAGGAAATCCATCCTGGATAGGACGTATAAACCTAGTCAAAATGGTAATTATGCCTAAAATACTGTATAGATTTCAAATGGTACCAATTAAAATCCCAGAAGCCTTCTTTAAGATAATGAAAAAAATGTTAACAAGATACATATGGAAGAATAAAAAACCTAGAATAGCATATGAAACATTGAGCAGGACTAAAGAGAAAGGGGGATTGGGTCTACCAGATGTCAAGAGATACTATAAAGCAGTGGTTTTAGCAAGAATATATGACTGGACATTTAACCATAAGGGGAAAAGTTGGGTAACAATATAAAATGATCTTAGTGGCATTAGATTGAACCAGATGATATGGGTTCCACCACAGTTCAGGGGAATCAAAGAAAGCACAAGTACCTACACTTTAAATGTTCTTAGGGTATGGGACAATTTACACAAGAACATGAAATGGGAATTTAATTCTATACTAATGCCTCTCACAGATACTGATTATTTTCCTCCGGGAAAAAATAAGATATCAGGGAGATGGTTTAGAAAGGAGGATACCCAACTGAGAGATGTTTTGGTGGAGGGGGAATTGAGACCACTTAAAGATTTAATAGAGAAGAAGGGAGATATTTTTATTAGAATAGATGAGTGGAAATATCATCAATTGAAATGTTTCATTGGAAATCTACCGAAACCCCTGAGATTAAAACAGGAGTGGAATATGTTTGAAAGGTTGTTAGAGACACGAAGGGATGGGAAGCACGGTATTTCAAAAGTGTATAGAATACTCACAGAATTAGACACAAATACAAAGTTAATTTTTATCACAAAATGGGAGAGAGATATGGGAGTTGGGTTTGATGAAGACAGACAGAGAAAGATGTTTAGATTGATACACGATAATGTTAGTATGAGAGAGGTTGAGGTTAATTATAAGTGTGTGACACGATGGCACATTACACCGAGTGTAGAGCACAGGATGAATGGGGAGAACTCGGATAAGTGTTGGAGAGGATGTGGAGAGATGGGCACGGTGTTTCACATATGGTGGGAATGTCCGAAAATCCAGGCTTTTTGGAAAATAATAGTCAAATTGATTAAAGAAATAACTGAAATTGACATAGGGTTAGACCCAACGACGTGTCTCCTACACAATGTGGAGACATCTGTAAATAGATATAAAGACTCAGGTATTTGGTACTTCTTGAATGCGGCGAAAGGGTTGATACCTAAGTTTTGGCGGAAGGCTGAGGTACCGAAGGAGGAAGACTGGATTAATAGAGTAAACCAGATAGGTAGAATGGAAAGATCATACCATATACAGGAAGATAAGATGAGAGTTTATTCCAGGAGATGGGAAAAAATGGGGGAAAGAGCAGGATTGAAAGAGAAATATAGGAAAATATGAACTAGGATGTGAGCAAAAAAAATTAATAAGCCTCAAGAGAGTAGAATGGGCTAGAGTCTGCAGAGGGGGAGGAGGGGGGATGAGGGGCGGGAAGGGGGGGAAGTGGGATGGGAAAGAAAAGAGTTTTTAGTAAGGGAAAGATAGAAATGTTATAAATGTTTATATGTATGAGAATTTTTTTCCCTTTTTGGGTTTTTGTATTAACATGAAAAATTTAATAAATATTTAAATTAAAAAAAAAAAAAAAAAAAAAAACAAGACCTCCTTCTCTCTAGTTCCCTGGTCTCCTCCTCCCATGCCTGCCTCCAGGACTTCTCCAGGGTGTCACCCATCCTCTGGAACTCCCTGCCCCAACCCATCAGATTATCACCTACTCTCCTCTCCTTTAGGCGCACCCTGAAAACCCATCTCTTCAGGGAAGCCTACCCCACCCCCTGCTAACTTGCCGACCTCCTCCACTCCTCCTACCACTCCATCCCCCACATCTATCTCCTCCTGTACCACCATCCCCTCCCTCCTAGATTGTAAGCTCGAAAGAGCAGGGCCCTCGATCCCCTCATGTTTTTCATTGTATTGGTATTGTTCTGTCACATGTTCTGTCCCCCTTTGTAATGTACAGCGCTGAGCGAACCATTGGCGCTTTATAAATACTGTATAATAAATAAATAATAATAATCAGTAAGGTCACAAAGTGCACCGGCCTGGCATTCACCTCTCCAGACATCACTCAAGCATTCTACTTTTTGGCCTAAAAATATGCATATTTTTTTTACTTTTCTGAAATTATAGAGCAAATATTAAAATTTCTTGAGAACAAATTATGGATTTTTTTATGAATAATCTGTGTAAAGAAAGAAAGTTCATGCAACATTTCCTTGCAGATGGGAAAGGTCATGGTGGACAGGAGGGGGCTGGACTATTCTAATGTCAAGCTCTACATCTCAATACATCACAGTGATTCAAAGTAAAACAAGGGTGAAGAAATAAATTTTGTCTTTATGCATCAAAAAGAAGATGAGAGCCCTTTGGCGTGCATTCCCCAGCATATGTGCTGGAATCAGGGGAGGACTGACAACTCATGGGGCCCCCGGGCAATAGGGGATCATGGGGCCCCTGTGTCCTTGCCCAAACTCAAAAAAGCCTATGAAAAAGGTACCAGGGGCATCTCATGGGGCCCCCTACTGACCCTGGGCCCCCAGGCAGTGCCCGAGTTTCCAAATGGTCAGTCTGCCCCTGGCAGTACACCATAATTAAAATATGAGCAGACCCACAAGCATGCTGTTAGTATGGCCATTATATCATATGGCAGCTACTGATTAAAGGGCAAAGAAGAGAGCAGAGTACAAGTGTCAAAATCAAGGGCGGGCCCAGACTGACCATAGAGTGCATCCAGGCATCTCCTAGATTGTAAGCTCCAAGGAGCAGGGCATTCCTTTCCCTCTTGTATTGAACTGTATTGTTGCTGTGTTGTCTCCCGTTATATTGTAAAGCGCTGAGCAAACTGGTGGCGCCATATAAATCCTGTATAATAAGGAGTGTGGGAGGAAACCGGAGTAACCGGAGGAAACCCACGCAGGCACAAGGAGAACATGCAAACTCCAGGCAGGAGGTGCCATGGCTGGGAATTGAACCAACGACCCGAGTACTGCCAGGTGGAAGTGCTAACCATTTAGCCTCTGTTATAGAAGTAAGTCATTGGTCATCATATTTGTTATGTTGGAATCATTTGTTTTCAGAATGCTTTCGCTGCTTCGTGAGAGTTTACATTTGTTGTTCCGAATCAATTCATATTTTCGGAAGTGCTGTTATTCTTTTTGTTTTTTTGTTTTCGAAAGATTGGTTATATTAGTTTTAATGTTTATTTGTTATTTCCGGAGATTACTTATGCACTCTGAGTCATCCCTGTTAGTCCAACCCACAAAGAAAAATGAAATTAGCTGATTGGATAGTATCACGTGCATCCAAAAGTAACAAATGGAACTAAATTAATTTCAGATTTGTTTGTTTTGATATGATTTGGAGATTATGATGGATCCACCTCCATCCAACTCAAACACAATAGGTAGGAATCATCTTATTTCCATTTCATATGTAGTGTCAATTTTATAATAATGAAAAATGTTAATGCAAAAAAAAAAATGATTATTAGAATATTCACGTTATGCTCGCTAGAATAAAAGCAAAAGGATTCCAATTAACCACTTCCTGTCCAGCCCATGTATATAAACATCCGGACCGGAGCAGTGCAGGGGTGAGTGGCCATTTATAAATGGCCTCCCCGCCCCCTGCTTGTGCACGCTTCCTGGAACACCGATTGTTGTACAGGACCTCTATGAGAGGCCCCGATCATGTGACCACTGATTGGCCAATCAGTGATCACATGCAGAGTAGTAAGCAAGATGTCACTTCTGACATCATTGCTTACTACATGTGAAATCTGTGAATGATCACAGAGGTCACATGGTACAGGGCTATTAACAACCTCCTTGTACCATGTGACAAGCTGTGACCAATCACAGCTCACACAGTATTTCTCAATGGCTGCAAGAATGCAGCCAGAGAGAAGGAGAAATGATTGCTTTTACAGCCTTTATGGGTGTAAAAGCAATCAGTGTAAAAAAAAAAGAAAATCTTCATCACCCCCCACAAGTAGTACAGTGTCACTATGGTGACACTGTACTGCTAGGGTGACAGTATGTTAAAAAAAAAAGCATAAATAATAATATAAAAAATAAAATAAAAATGTAAACAAAAATTTAGAAAAAATTATATTTTTTGGTTATAAACTAATTTGGGTTATTATTGTTTTTGCTAAAAAGATAACTGAGTAAATGTTCACCAATATTTATGTAGAAAGATTATTTATTTTCAAAATTTTAAATGCTTTTTTTTTTAAATGTTTGGACTTTTACATTTATATAGCAAAAAAATAAAAATCCCAGTGGTGAATAAAAACCACCAAAATAAAGTTTTATATGTGTTAAAAAAAGTGCTAAAAAATTCATATGGGTACAGTGTTGCATGACTGCGCAATTGTCATTCAAAGTGTGATAGCGCTGAAAGCTGAAAATTGGCCTGGGCAGGAAGGGGGGGAAAGTGTCCGGACTGGAAGTGGTTAAGTTGGATCATTCATTATGTCATTATGTTATTTTGGATGCTTCAAACATCCACCAAATTCTCAAACTATCGCATCCTGTCATCCGAATGAAACAAATGAATACAAATGAATGTGTTGTTTCCATTATAATCTATTTATGATTCATTGAAATTCATTACATTTGTGATTTGAAGATTTGGATACATCCGAATCTCCAAATCATGAACATTTCATCCCAATTTCTATTCCGAATAAAATGAATCGTACATGTCTACTCTAAACCTTTTTCAAGACTGTCATCCCTTTCTACAGCGTTAAGTCAAAAAAGGAATCCCATATTCTGGGACAGGATTCAAATACGGAATCTCTTCTTAGAAAGATATTGTCCAAGAAATGATAAAACAATAATTAAAGCCTTACCAAAAGATAAAAAAATATTTGTTCCTGTTGTATATTATATCTCCCCATGCAGCCCTTGAAGGTGTTATATTTAAAGATTAAAAAAAAATGATTTGTTTCCCTGAAATGTTCATTCTAGTGAAACCCATTGGAGTCAATAAAAGGTGAGAAGTTTCAACTATCCTGCGCCTGTGCTTGTGCCAAAAAATAATGAAGGGACCGTATACAAATAATGCTAAAATAAAAAAAAAACAACAACAGTGAAAAAACTAAACTACTCAAAATATTCTAAATAAATAAAAGTAATTCATAGATTATTATCAGTACTAGCAAGTGTTTGCCTAAGCAGCTTAATAGCTGAGTAGTAGCAGAAATGGGTTGTCTTATTTCCTAGCAATTTTTGGCTAAACAAGTTGCTGGGCCAGATTTCCACTTCTGCCAAATTTCACCAAGAACAGAATCAGTAATTTTTGTGATTTATCTGATATGACTCCACTCACCCCAATGCCGGCCATAGATAGGTCGAAAACTGGCCTTTTTTTAACAAAAAAACAAAAAATTGGTCGTTCAATAGGCCGACGTTACCACCAATGGTAAAAAATATCATCTGATTTTCTTCTTGTGTACGGCCGGCATTTAATTACTTCTGTCCCTGCAGAGAGCTCCGCTATTATATTTGACATTAAAACGTATTGCGGTTGCAACATTGTATTTGTATCCATTTCGGATAGAGATGTTTTTATTCGGATACAAATAGATACATTGTTGCAACCGCAATACTTTTTCATGTCAAATATAATGGCGGACTGGAATTCTTCTTCTTTTTCTTCTTTTCCTTCTTCTTTTTCTTTTTCTTCTTCTTTTTTTCTTTTCTTCTTTTTCTTTTTCTTCTACTTCTTCTTTTTCTTGCAGGTCACAGCTCATGTGCAGATTTTTTATCAGTAAAAAGATCGGACGATTTGCCCATCATTGCTGCGAAAATCGGCCAGTTGGCAAAATCGGCCGATTTTTTTTCCAGCTATACCGATCAAAAAAATCTGACAAAATCCAGAAAAACGGCTGACCAATTAACCCATTAACGGTGCGAAAATCGGCCAATTTTTTTTTTCGGACGAAAAATCATCCGATTTGCGACCCATCAATGGCCTGCACTAGTTACAATGATCTCAGGAATCTTTAAGTCAGCAAAGAAAGTTTAGCAAGAAAGCTCCCAGATATGGTGATGGGAACCTCATTGTGGCCCCAATTTTCTTCAATTTTCTTGTTTGGCAGCCCTCCGTGAGACCTTAGGTCAGTGCAGAATTTTAGGTGAGCTACTTACCTGTGACCATGAGGATGAGTACAGTCAACATCCCAATTCCAGGAGAGAGGAACATCTTCAGCAGATCGCTCACACTCTCGCTGTCTTTCTCACCGATCTGTTAAGAACGCAATTTTTTGCCGTGTAATTTAAACTTTTTCAGCTTCCTCATTCTTCTTCATCTATAATGTACTTTAGGTGGACAAGCTCTGGTTTAGGACAAGGTAAGAAGGCCTTTACTGTCATTGTAACATACATTTCAGCCTTGCACACGTCAGTAGGAGTAACTGCCAGCCTTGGGACAAATGCGTTTCCAGTCAGTCTGGTCTTAATTTGGCATTCCATCTGCAACCTATTTCTGTGTTAGTTGACAAATTGTTCAAATGATGACAACCTTCATTTCAGCACATAAGTGGGCCCTGGATGTCATAAGTGGTTGTTGGTAAATGGATTCTTTATTACAAAAATTATTTTGAAAAAGTCCATAGTCCTGGCAGAGGAAATGTACACAAGCAGCCAGGATCCAGGATCCTGATAGACAACTTTGACCCAGTATAGTCATTACATCCTCAAGGATCCCCAGCTTAGCACTGGGATCAGTTATTTAGTAAAGGGAGAGGAATGGGTCTTGATTGAAGAGGGTTGTCATCATTGGCTGCTGTTATTGATGATGGATTTACATCTCTGGACAACGTGATTTTCATTTTGTTAGGGAGCTATTTAGGATAAACATGAGCATGTGCTGAGAAGGAGACTACAGAACAAAGAAGTGCATGGGCTGAGGAGGAGACCTGGCATAGTTGCCAATACTGTAGATGACTGCACAGGAATGTATGCAGGTGCATTCGTATTGCACCCTTGCGTGTTAATGTGGGAGTGCGCACTAGCACGGGTGCATGATTACACACATCTGCTGCCTACTCCCTGGCTTGCCTTCCCACATATTACTTCAGCTACCATCCGGACTACTCTTCCTCAGTCCGATCCTGCCAGCCTGACCTTGCTCATTTGGCTGTACTTCTCTTGTAGATCACAGGAGTGCAGTTCATTCTGTATCCCTGAGACCTGTTTTAAGCCGTCAGCAGGCTAAAGCAGCTGTCACCTGTCGCTGGGGAAATTCACCCAGGAGCCTGGACTGGCAGCGAACCCAGCCTCTCAGCGAGCCGCCAAGAGCCTGAGCCAGCCACTCCCACCCCTCCATAGCCAGTGAATACAGGTGGGGGGAGGGGGGCAAAGCAGACAGTGGTGACAGTCTCTACTTTCTGCTCAGAGCAGCAGGGAGAACTGATCAGCGGTGTTTGATCACTCAGTTCTCAGTCTTACATCCAGCGGCACCCAGCTTCTCCTTTAAAACATCCACTACATCTAGAATAAAATGATTGCCTAGGGCAAAGCAATGTTCCTACCTGTCATTGTTTTCTAAACATAAAAGCATTGTTTGCATA